TTATTTGATTTATTCTGCTGGGTGAGAAAGATGTGATGTGAGGGTTAACACTTTATAAGCCAAAGCCCACAAAACCCTGTTATCTGCTTATCGCTAACCCACAGACTTCCACATTTCCCTACTGATAAGATACGGAAGATATGAATTCCCTGACAGCCATTTTGATGCTACCAGATTTGGGATGAGGAGACTCTGAAAGATTAACTTTTGGCTGCCATTAAGTGCCCATCCAGCCTGGCTCCCATAGAGCGGACGGCTCAAGGCAGCAGACAATTGCTCTTTGAACTGAGGGGCAGTATCGTTGGCCTCTTCAAAGTATTAATAAAGTGAGCATGAGATTAACCATAATTTGGAAGGCTACTGCATACATTTCTGGTTTAATTGTTTCAGGATATGCCCTGGGCATTGGAACTTCAAGGCAATTCTAATCTTCAGCCAAGATTGAGAACCACCTGCCTGGATGAACTTCCGTTTGGCAATTCAGACCTGGCAGTCCCCAGAGAGGTGGGGCTGGGGAGATCCAGGTAGTTGAACCCTTGTGGTGAGCTGAGATTGGTGGAGAAAGAGAGAGGAAAGAGAAGCTGTGGTGGTCTTGGAGATCAGGCAGCTATAGACAGCAGTGTCCAACAGAGCCACCCCAGTCACTTAAAAATATAAAGAACTGATTTGGTCTGATGTGCATTGACAGGCACAGTCCCTGCCCTTGTGCAGCTTCCATGCTGATGAGAAAAGCAATCAGATAAGAAACAAAGGCATGTTCCAGGGCAGAGGACACCTGACGCAAGCACCTAACTGAATGGGGCTAGAGGACAGATGTTCAGGAAATCTTTCCATAATGGAAAATGGAATTTTAAGCTGAGACTCAATGCATGAGTAAGATTCAGCCCAAACAGAGCAATGAGGAGTATGTTCCAGGAAACAGAAAGGTCAGAGGTGTTCCAGGCAGAGGCAACAGCACAGGTGAAGGCTCAGAAACCTCAGAGCTTGGTTCATTCCAGAAACAAAGAGGTCCAATGCAGATGGACTACAGATCTGTGCATGGACAGGTGGGCAGCGCAGGGCGGGGTGGCGAGGTGAGCAGCTGAGATATTTTCGTAAAGCCGTGGGAACCTGCCAGAAGCAGAGGAGTGCTGGGGACAGTGATCAGTTTTGGAAAGATTACTGGGTGGCAGTCTGGAAGGTGAGTGGAAGGGAGCAAGAAAGCACAGCCAGCAGACAATGACAGAAACCCAGATGACATGAAGGATCTGAGCTGGAGAAACATTTAAAAGGAAGGAGCATGGGGGTGACAGTGAGTGGAGAGCTGACAGTGACTGAGATGAAGGACACGTTGAGTGCAAAGTACCCGCCCTCCTCCACCCCACTGTCCCCGTCTGCCTCTTTCTCTCCCTCCCTGCCTCCCTCTCTCCTTTCTGCCTTTTTTCCTCCCTCCCTTCCTCCTTTCTTTTCTTTTTCTCTCTTTCTTCCATCATTCTCTCTCTCTCTCTCATATCATGGCAACTGGCAGCGTGGCTCTCCCCTCACCCACACCTCTCTGTTGAGCGCCCTTCATTAAACGACTATCGTGTCACCTCATATCTGCTTGTATCTCTGTTACTCTTCCCATCACCAGTGACTATGCCCATAACTTTCTTTGCACTTTCTCTGTGAAAATATGATTCATTAACTTACCTTGGGAACTTTCCTTTATGAGCCTTATGCTGAAGGAAACAAAAATGAAGTAAACAGGAACTTTCCAGGGCTCTAGGGGGATGTCCTTAGTTGTAGAGTATTTTACATAAATGTGCATGGGAATTAGGAAGGCCTGGTTTCAAGTATATAAAGTAAACAAAGTGAACCAAGTAATGCAACTGGCTTGGAGGGTATTCAGATCTCTTCAGTGACCCTGAACCCCTAGCCCTAGCTCCTTGAAGATATTTATTTTCTGCCCCTTATACCGTCTCTGTCCTGCCGTGCAGACCAAGCATGCAGGCAGGAGGCACTGTGGCCATCCTTATAGAGTGCATCCATGAGATGCACAACCCAAGGAATTCCAATATTAGTAATAATGATGATACTTATTGTGTGTTCCAGTCCTCAATGGTCTGGGAGGGGCATCAAGACAGGTTTGGGAGAACAGTGTGATAGCAGCAGGCCAGGACTGGGAACCAAGGACTGACCCTACAGTTGTAGGACACTATGACTGGCATCTCCTTAGATTCTTTTAAATAGTGGTAAAATACACATAACATAAAATTTAATCATGTTTAATTGTACGGTTCAGTGGCATTAAGTACATTCACATGGTTGTGTAACCATCACCACCATCTGTCCCCAGAACTTTTTCATCTTCCCAAACCAAAACTCTGTACCTATTAAACACTAACTCCCTGTCTGAGTCCATGTTGTGTTGCTATAAAAGAATACCTGAGACTGGGTAATTTATAAAGAAAAGAGGTTTATTTAGCTAATGGTTCTGCAGGCTGTGAAGTTCAAGGGCATGCTGCTGGCTTCTGGTCAGGGCTTTCGTACTGCGTCATAACATAGCAGAGAAGGTCAAAGGGGAAGTGGACACATGTGAAGAGGGGAAAACTTCAGGGGCGTCCTGGGTTTATAACAACCCATTCTCATGGGAAGTATTCCATTCCCAGGAGAACTCACTGCCGTAAGAACAGCACCAAACGATCAATGAGGGATCCATCCTCATAACTCAAACTCCCCCACAAGGACCCACCTCCCAACACAGCCACAGCAGGCATCAAATTTCAACATGAGTTTGGTGGAGACAAACAAACCATATCCGAGCTATAGCACTCCCCATTGCTGCCAACACCCAGCAACCACCATTCTGCTTTCTTTCTCTATATATTTGATACTTGAAGTTCCTCATATAAGTAGAATCATATATAGCATTTTTCCTTTTGTAATTTGCTTATTTCACTTAGTATAATGTTCTCAAGGTTGTTTCATGCATGTTGTAGCATGAGTCAGAATTTCCTTCCTTTTTAATGTATGTGTATATGGCACATTTTGTTTATCTATGCATCCATCAATGGACATTTGGGTTGCTTCTGCCTTTTGGAATATTGTGAATAATGCTGCTATGAACATGGGTGTACAAATATCTCTTCAAGTCCCTCTTTTTAATTCTTTTTGGTGTATACCCAGAAGTGAAATTGCTGGATCATATGGTAAGTCTATTTTAATTTTTTGAGGAACTGCCATACAGTTTTCTGTAGCAGATGCACCATTTCACATTCCCACCAAGAGTGCACAAGGTTTCAATTTCTCCATATCCTTGCTTACACTTGTTATTTTCCATTTTTTTGATAGTATCCCTTATAATGGGTTGTGAGGCAATATCTCATTGTGGTTCTGATTTGCATTTCCCTAGTTATTAGTGATGAGCATCTTTTTATGTTTTGGCCATTTACATATCTTCTCTATAGAATATTAATACAAGTGTTTGTCCATTTTTAATTAGATTGTTTGGGTTTTGCTGTTTTTATTGTTGACATACGGGAGTTTTTTTAAATGTACTCTGGATATTCACCTTTTATTAGATATACGTTAACAAATATTGTTTCCCATTCCATGGGTTGCCTTTTCATGCTGTTGATTGTGTCATTTGATCCACAGAGATGACAGCTTAAATTGGACAGCCTGGGTGCCTCCCCCTACTCCTGGCTCTGAATATTAGTCCTTGTCTCTTCCACAAAACATTTAACAAACTTAAAGTATTTGACATGACAGAGATCACATTTGGGTTTCTGAAAGTTTAATGAAGCACAGAATTTCATTTTTCCATCTGAATTCCTTTGACAACCTGGTATATCCAAGTTTAGACGTTGTTTCTGAAGCATAACCTAGCCTATCCTACTTGTTAAAAGAGATCACCAGCTTCAAAGAAGGCTTTCTGAGAACACTCCCATGTGCCTTCCCCCAGTAAAGAGAGAAGCCTTTGAACTCTTGTCAAATAATCACGACGTGCCAGGCACTGTTTTGTGTAATTTACACGTGTTAACTCCCTTAATCCTTACAACAGCCTTAGAAGGTGCACACTGTTTGGGTCCCACGTTATGCATGAAGGAAGAGGGACAGAAAAGTTGAATACATTGCTGAAGGTAACATAGCTAATAGGTGGCAGAGCTCGGATTTGAAGCACAGAAGCCTGGTTTCAGATTCTGTACTCTTACCCAATTATGAACTGTAGCTGATGCATCATCTTCCCCGTATTTAATTTTTAAAAGTTATTTCAGACTTTGGCACCTTCCAGTGAGTGCAGTTGGTTTCCAGCAAACTGCATTTTTAGGTTTTACTTGGACATCATGCCTCCTCTCCTAGCGTTTCTTTTCCTTCTCTGGGTTTACAGAAATGACTTATAGTCTAGCCTCCCATGAGCAAGATCTGAGCCTCCCTGTAAATCCATCCATTCCAGCTTAACATTCTTTTCATGGCTATATGCATGAGTGAAAATGAAGGCCAACAATTAAATCCCAGGCATATTGTATTAGAGCCATAATGCTCCATCTCTGCCCCTCGTATCCCAGCAGATTTGAAGAGCTAATTGAAAGCTGCACTTGACTCTTGGTGTAAAAAAAAAAAAAAAAAAAAGCAAACCCCACTTCTCTGGCTGAGAGCCAGCAAATGGGTGCCATCTTAGCAGGTTCAATGTCTCAGCAGGCCACACCTCTCAGGGAAAGGGAAATTCATGTTCTTACATACTCCCTTTGGCTAATGTGTCCTATGTTCTCCCATATTCTTTCACCGACATTGAATTTTAATGGATTAGGTAAAACAAGCCAGCCCAGCCCAACCCATAAAACAGCATGTCTTATTGAATCAAGTCAATTTACCCAGAAGAAACTCATTTCTATAGGCTTGTGGGAATAACTCAGCTATTGACAAATGTCACCAATGGCTTCTTTTCACTTGCCTGGGCTCCGGCACTCCACTGATCCTGATGAGAAAATAGCTTGTTTTTCTCCTCCTGTCCTATCATTGTGACTTGTTTTCTGCACGATTCTATGGATCTACTCTGAGACGGGTACCTGGGGGTATCCTGTGCTTGCCAAACTGAGCCCTCTGGGCCTGGCAGCCTTCTTCATTCTTAGCTAAATCTTTAGTGCCAGCCTCTACCTACTTGTAGAGAAGCTCAACCACTGGAAATGGGGTTGGTGTATTTCTCTCCTACCTACAAATGCATTTCTTCTTTGCCCTTTCTATGCTTCTCCTGGAAACAGAAGGAAAAGCTAGTCCAAAACTGAAAGCAATGATGCTTCATGCCTTTGTCCAAAGGACTCAGCGAGGCCCTACCAAAGCAGGCAAGGGAAAAGCCTCGGGGAAGTTGACACTTTTTCAAAGGACCCTATCAAATTATGTCCCCTCCTGCCCCCCCAAAATATCTCACTTAACTCTAAAGATAAAATTAATCTTGTTTAAAAAGTGGAAGACCCAGAGACAAAAGTATTGCCATCCCTAGCATGAAAAAGTAAGATCAAGTTCTTCCCCCAACCCGAGTGAGGGCTCCAGGGACACAAGCTGTGAAAATGCCACAGTTTCCTTTTGGAAGGAATGAGTCCAGAGGACCCTCTTAGCTCTTCCAACCTCAGAAGTGCATTCCCGAGAGTGCCCGTGCCTCCCTCATTAGGCTGCGTCTCAACCTTCAGCAAAGCATCTCCCAGACAAAATCACATCCTATACTTGCGATTGGATTTCTCATTCAGAGTCTCGGGCAATGAGAATATGTCAGTAAGCTAAGCTTTCTAATTATAGGTGGGTAGAGCCATGTTGCTTCTTCACAAGAAAAAAAAATCATCATAACTTCAGTCGATTTTAAAATGGAAGGTTTTATCCTCTCTCCACTTCCTCTCTCCCCACCCCACCCCCAGAATATATATATGTTTTTATTGTTAGAAAAGTAACTACCAGAAAGACAGGTTGCAAAATACCCATGACTATTTCCCCTCCCCAGGGAGAAGTGCGGGAACTCTGCCCTGATTTTGCATGGAAGGAAGGCAGGGATCACACGCAGCCCCCCACATCACTCGCCCACAGACCGTGCTGTTCTATCAAAATAGAGACAGCAGAAGTGCCATCTTCCGCCCAATCTATGAACTGGTGTGAAAACATAAGTCCGTGTATCCAAAAAACCCGACAGTTTCAGAAGGTTCAGTACCAGAGTGTGTATTTCTGAGAGGAAGCTGAGACTCTGGAGAAATAAGCATGCAACTTGCATTTGTCACGTGTTTTCTACTGTTGGAGGAGTTGACTGGTTAAGAAAGTCTCAAAGGCAAAATTCTTTCTGAAAGCAAACACTTATAAAATGGAGTACTAAAAATTACTTCCCATATCAGGATTCCAAATCAAAGGAAATTATCCAGAAAAAAAAAATGTGTTGACATCTCATATGTGTTGACATCTAATTCTAACTAGGTTTTGGCTCCTTGAAGTTCTGGGTGAAGATTTTTGATGCCTTTCCCAGATCTATTTTAAAAAGAAAGAAAAGAAAAGAAAAGAAAAGGAAGAAAGAAAAAAAGGAAGGAAGGAAGGAAGGAGGGAAGGAAGGAAAAGAAAGAAAGAAAGAAAGAAAGAAAGAAAGAAAGAAAGAAAGAAAGAAAGAAAGAAAGAAAGAAAGAAAGAAAGAAAGAAAGAAAGAAAGAAAGAAAGAAAGAAAGAAAGAAAGAAAGATCTATTTGAAATTTGGAAGACATAAGAAGTATAGAGAACAACCTGATTATTTAGAGCATAGAGAACAATAACTTTTTAAATCAATTATACTGAGTTCAATAATGTATGAGTTAATTTTTAAATTGCTACTCTACAATGAATTTTAAACATCCATTGATAAAAAATTAAATTTTCACTGTGTTTATCATAACTGAAATCACCATTTTCAACACAGAGCTCTTCTTATAAGCCTCCTTATTTAAGCGCTATATCGGATTTTCCACCACAGTTAGGTCCCAATGAGCAAATAAGCCGGCATCATCATGTGGAGGCTCATTAACATCGTGCATTTGTTAATGTTCATGTGAGTGACAGAGACTGTCGCAAGTGACTATGTGTGCACATGGACAGAGATTATGCATATCCTCCAGAACTTACAGTGAAATGGGAGGTGAGGCTAATCGAAGCTGGAGTTTGTTAGAATCTCTGCTACTGAATGTCTGAGACACAGTATGGCCTGACTGGAGTCACCAGCCAAGCATGAGTGGTCAAGAATATCAGACGAAATATCGGTTAAGATCCACTAAAGATGCTAGATCTCTCTAGCGGTGGTTTCACATCATGGAAACACGAGGGGTGTTTTAAAAATACTAATTCCCAGACCTACCCCCAGACCAATTAAATCCGTATCTCTGGGTACTGTGACTTGGTGTGGGTATTTTTTATTTTTTGTCGAGACAGAGTCTCACTCTGTTGCCAGGGCTAGAGTGCCGTGGCGTCAGCCTAGCTCACAGCAACCTCAAACTCCTGGGCTCAAGTGATCCTACTGCTTTGGCCTCCCAAGCAGCTGGAACTACAGGCATGCACCACCACACCCGGCTAATTTTTTTAATACATATATATATATATATGATTTTTTTAGTTGTCCAGCTAATTTCTTTCTATTTTTTTAGTAGAGGCAGGGTGTTTCGCTCTTGCTCAGGCTGGTCTTGAACTCCTGAGCTCAAACGATCCTCCTACCTCGGCCTCCCAGAGTGCTAGGATTACAGACATGAGCCACCACACCCGGCCTACGTGAGCATTTTTTAAAGCTCCCAATAATTTAAATTTGCAGCCAGGGTTGAGAGCCACTGGCACAAAGCAATGCTTCTCAAACCTGAGCAGGCCTCTGAATTTTGTTGAAAATTCAGAATCTTGGGGAACCTGGGGATCTTGTTAAAATGTAGATTCTCACTCAGTGGATCTGGGGCGCAGCTTGGGATTCTGCCCTTCTGATGTGTGCCCCAGAGATACCGATACTGCTGGTCTGAGGACAAGCCGTCTACACCACAGGACTCTGGACGCCTCCCGGTGTGGATAATTGTGCCTACAGGCACCCTCGTGCAATGTGGGGTTCTCCCGAGTCAGCTGCCGGACTGACAAGGGTGTTGGCGGTGAGGGCCACAGCTGCTGAATGTCCACTTACTGGCCCCCTCCTCGTGTGTCACGCCCGCGGGTGAACATGAGAGGGCAGCCAGAGGGCAGTCAGAAGAAATGACAGCAGGCATCCGATGTAAACCTGGAGAGTATGTGACCAGGTCCTCCCAGGGCACATAGCTGCAGACAACTGGCTTTGAGTGTCAGGGAGGCAAATGCTGTTGCAGCCCTTGGGAAGGTCCTTCAGGAAGATGCTAAGGCTCAAACAGCTCTCAAGAGTGTCCACAGGGCCACCCTGTCAGACCTGGCACTGTCTGACTCCCTGCCCTGTGCTGGCTTTTATGTGTCATGGAACAGAGGGTTAAACAAGCTGAGTCAGCTATTGGGACCAGGCACCCAACCAAAAAGATTCAATTTCAGAGTTAGGTGGAACATTGGTTTCAAACAATGACAGAAGCAGGTGGCAGGGGTGGGGATCGGAGCAGTTGCTAGACCCTTGGACGCTTGGCCCACCATGTCTGAACTTCTAGGTGTGCCCCTGGCAGATTCTCTTCCACCCCGACTGGAGGAAAGGGGCAGTCAGGGTGTCCCATCGGAGGGCCCCTTCTCTGCCATGTAAGTGATTAATTTTCATTTCTTTTCCCTTGGTGACAGGACACAAGGTTGCTGATGCCAGGGCACGAGTCCTTCAGGAAGAGAAGGCCAACCCACAGGAGATAGCAGGCACGGAAAGGGGGTGAGCACCCCCAGGCCTGCAGAGACAGTGGCTTACCCTAGGCCCCGACTCCCTTCCCTCTGTTCTGGAGGGCCAGGTGCCAGGGGTCGGGCTATCCTTTGTCAGGGCCCAAGACCATAGACCCTTTTGCTCCTAAGGACAGTTTATAAGCTGAAAATTCCAGTACAGCCAAGTACCTTTGTGATGGTGTCTTGGATAGAAAGACATTAAAACCTTCCTTTAATATTATTTGCCACAGACCAGGTTTTTAAAGAGATGACTTTGGTGTTGAAAGCTGGCCAGAGGCCCTCTAGTCCTGCTGTTCCCAACCCCGGTCTGCAGACCTGTAGGAGTCGGAGGCCTGTTAGGAACAGGGCTGGGCCGCACAGCAGGAGGTGAGCTGCGGCCAGGGAGTGAAGCTTCATCTGTATTTATGGCCACATCGGACCATCACCCCACCCCCACCCTGGTCTGTGGGAAAATTGTCATCCATGAAACCAGTTCCTGGTGCCAAAAAGTCAGGGACCACTGCTCTAGTCTACCTCCGTGGTTTTATCCATAAAGAAATTAGATAATTTCTAATTCCTGTCTTGCATATTATCCCCGATCATTTCATTATGAAAGAATTGTATCATAGCTGACTCCACGGGTACTTCTAAAGCATAGTCCCATTGGGGCAGCATTTAGTCCAGGCATCCTCAAACTATGGCCCGAGGGCCACATGCAGCCCGCCAAGGACATTTATCCGGCCCGCTGGGTGTTTTTGCCGCTGCTGCCTGTCCTGCTTAGCAGCCGACTTGTCCCGGGCCCACAGTGCGCACTCTCCAACAGTCTGAGCGACAGTGAACTGGCCCCCTGTTTAAAAAGTTTGAGGACCCCTGATTTAGTCAATAACAAAAACACATCTCCTTTTTGCTTTTCCTGTCCTAACTTCATCTCCATAAGCTCAAAGAGAGTGCATTCTGGATTATTCTCTCTCTCTTCCTTAGCCTCTTTCCCTGGAAGAGTTTCTCCAGCCAGCCCTCAGCCTCATCCCTTCTCTGGACTTCTGCAATGTGGACTTATGCTCATCCATGTGCAAACCCCATTCCTCTAACACCTCACATCCCACCAGCCACCGGCCTTCTGGCCCTTCCCCAAGGCAGCCCACTGACACTAGGCAGATGTTCTCCAAATTTTCAATTCAAAGTCTATCAGTAGCTTTTGTGGTTGTAGGTGCATAGGTGTGAACCTTTGGGAATACTATGTTTTTATTTATCCTGTGTTCTAACTATTGGAATAATAAGGTAAATAATTACAAATGGTATGCAGAGTGACGTTGATTGAAACAATGGTTTCTTTGCCTTTCAGTAGCAAATGTTTGAATGTGGCACAGATGAACATTAAATGCTTGGCCTAGAATATCTCTAGCCTTCATACTATCTGACAGAGTGTAGGGAAAGGACTAAAATAAGTAGGGGGTGGGGGGGGACCTAACTCCCTAGCTGCCAACTAGGAGATTTTCTACTGGGAAAAATTCACCTCAATTAAGAAAAGAATTATAACAAACAATATTATTTACCAATCAGAGTTTTAAATGTATTGTGTGCATTTGGTTTGGGTGACATACGCGAACTATTACTAGGTCAATGGCTCCTCTATCTCCAGCTATGCGCCCTATGGTCAGACAGAAATTCTGAAGAGTCAAAGAAGCTCAGAAACAGCTCAGCTCCGTAGGAATACAAGATTAAGAACCCATCACTTGTCCCCGCCTGATAGAACCAAAAATAACAACATGATTTCTGAGGTATTCACACCATGTGAGAATAAAATGGCATACTCTATAGAGTAAAGTGACTGTGGGAGGTTCACACGGAGACCTGTTTGGGGACAGTGCCTTCTCTAGCATGCTGGTGGGTATGTGGGGATTTCTTAGTGTCACCTACCACTTGGTTTCAGAAAGGAGACTCTGACCCGGCAGAAGGAGCCCCCTGCTCACCCCCCTCCACAGAACTTCACACCTCACTTCTGCTCCTGGGCTGCTTCTCTGTCAGCCTTCCCGTTCTGCTGAGTTTCTGAAAAGGAGAGAAGAATCTCCAATCCCTGGCACTCAAGGTTGAAGGAGAGAGGTTAGGATTGTAGTTGGGCCCGAGGGCTGGGCCTTGGTAAACAACGTGGATAAAAAAATTTTAGGAGCCCTCAGAGTGAATGTAGAAGGCACACATTTGAGAAGTTTATATTGACCAAGCTCTTAGACATAAGGGAATTAGCTGGTTGTTTAGTTGAGACAGAATTTGTTAAAGGCCCCAAGTACGCACTGCAGAAAAGAGAAAGCACGGTGATTGTACTTACACACCTAACGCAGGGAAGACCTAACCGGGGAGGAGAAGATTCACATCAGAAATGGAAAATAGATGGGCACATCAATGAAAACGACACAAAGCCCATAAGGCTGGCCAAATAAGTATTAAGGCTTCGCTGGATGGACTGGGGTAGTCTGGACTGATGAGGAGTAGAAGAAGGGAGAGGACTAGCCTTAAAGATGTTGAGGGACATCAACACAAGGACGGCCACGAGGACTGTGTGAGCAGGAGATGGCTGTCGGAGAAAATCAGCACGGTAAAGGGGCCACCAGTGGGACTTCACGTCACCAGTCACTGTAGCCTCTGAGAAAGGGAGTTCCAGCAAAACGAAATTAGTAGAAGGTACTTAATGTTTGCTGTTAAGGGTCAAATTGATGGAGGTGGCCGAGTTCGAAGGGTGAACCACGGAGTTAGGAGGATGAGTTTGCTGTGGCAATACCATACCGGAACTACCTGGGCTCTCGCTTCTGGACTGGAAGAGAAGACGCTGAGTTGAGGAAAGTTTTCAGAGTAGGATTGATAGTATTTGGCCAACAGGCACAGCGGATAATGAGCTAATCAAATTCTATAAATTTCAGAGCTTACGTGAAGATTTATGGTCATTAAACATGGAAGTACCAACTTGTTGGCTGAACGGAAGTCATTCTAGAGATCGAAGGCTATAATTTCAATGAATAATGCCCCTCTAACGAGCTTACTAAAAGCTAATCCATATACCAGTGCTTTTCCACCCAGGCTGATAAATTGATCTGGTGAGAGGTCATAGAATGACCCCAATTAGGTGAACACGCACTCTTCTGTTTCCTCTCTAATTTGATGTGGTCTTTACCTCTCCACCTGCAAAGTCTCAACATTTGCTGATGGATGGAGTGCAGCCTGCAAACACCTGCCCCCCACCCCCCAGAGCGACAGCTAGGTGCCTCCTGTCCAATGTGCAGAGCTGCATGACGGCAGACAGCCTCGCTGGGTACCTGGCTAGCTGTGAGCCAAGCGTGGCAGGAGGGCAGCAGAGTTGTTTCTTGCCCATGCACTAGTGGTAGCTGGTTTTCGAAACTCCTTAAAATACATCTTCTCACCTGGGGAAAATTGTGCTTGACTTTCCACTGCCCCAAGTCAGGGTGAATCTCTAGCTAAACAAAAATACCCAATAGGGAACCCCTGAAGCCTGAGGTCTCTCTCTGCTCTCGTTTCTACAGGTGACATGATGCAGCCACAGAAAAAGAGGAAGTGATTTCACACCATTTTCCAAGAACCAAGAAGGAAGAAATCTCGAGAGCTTTTTCTCATCTTTTTTTTCCCCCCTGAATGGGGGAGGTGGTGGAGCAATATAGGAAGGTAGATAAGACAGGGAATGGTATTCAAATTTAATAAGAGTATGAGGAAGGCGGCTTGAGAACTCTTGGGGCTTTAAAAGGTTGACTGCACACGCCAAAAACAACTCCTGCCGTCTCAGAATTTGTCTGACTTTCATGGAAGATGGTCTCTGGTTAAAATCTGGCCAATAGCTAAAGAAACTCACATAAACTTGGTGTTAGAGAACATTTAGAGACAGAGAAAAGAATTTAGGGTCATTCAAACCTTCAAATTACAGAGGAGGATGCTGAGGACCTGGATGAGAAGTTACCTGCATGAGACTAAAATGTTAGTTGGTGTCAGAGCCAAGACAACAGCTTTTGTCACCTAGATTTTCTAACTCCCAGTCCTGGCACATTTTTAATAATTTCAACTTCTCTTTAAAAACAAACCAAAAAAAAAAAAACCAAGCATTTTTGTAAGCTAGTTATTTTCATGGATTATTTATTAATTTTTTTCATCAATCTAGAAATATAGGGAGATGACTGCTAATGAAGTTGTCTGTCTACCTGGAAATTATCAGGATCAATGAGAAATTAAGTTATAAAAAGTATTGGGAAATCTGCCTCTCTTGGGAGCAAACATTCAAGCAGATATAAACATTGAACATAGTGACATTGCCAAATTCTTCCATTCAAACTGATAAATTCATCAAATAAACATTGTACATTTTACTTGGAGAAGACCCTGGTTGACAAGTGACATGATTATGAAGGCTGGTGAGATAGATTGCTTTTGCATAGAGCACGTTGCAGAGTTAGTGTATGTTTTAACAAAGCTGATTGTCAGATGATGAACAATAATTCATAAACCCTGTTTTGATTTTCCTAGTGGCTTTTTCCTGGCCTTTATTTATAGGCACATTTTTAAAAGAACACAAATGACAAATGTCGAGTGGTGGGTAAATGTGTTTGGATCTAACAGTATGTCACCAGGCTCATTTGGGTTGGGGTGTGGACACTGGAGTGAATTGTACCTGGGCTTCCCAACCTAACATTATGGAGGAGAGATGTGGTAAGAAAGTGACCCCAAGAGCGGTCTTGAGGGGTTGGAGAGGAGGGCAGGATATCTCACCAGGAAAGGCAGTCCAAGGGACAACCAGGGCAGGTGCCAAAAATCCTGCTCAAGCCCTACTCCTTTTCCACTATTCTATTAATATGAGCCTCGAGTCTTTTTCACATTGAGCTGGGAACACCACCTCTTTCCCCACACCTGCTGCTGCCTCTTAACCACTCCGAGCACCTGGTCCCAGCAGGCGCCCAGAAGCAGTTGTCACAGTGGAAATACCCCAAATGGGAAGCCTGCAGGGGATCACCCAAGTTTTTCCACACGCCAAAGATGACTCGGGCTACATACTTCTCAGAGTCATAGTAAGCTCTTGGCTGGGATAAGCCTGCAGATTTCTATTTGTGGCTTTACTGTCCCTAGGACCAAATTAAACCTTGATTGCAGCATGCCTGGCCACGGTGAAGTATCTATTCCAACACTAGAAATATCTCGGCACCATTCCCATTAAGCACAAACCTAAGCACACAAGTGCGTCTTCAGTGCTGCTGTAGCTTAAGAAAGGAAAAGCAACCAAACACCTGTGATGAATGCTGATTAAACATCCATTAAGAGGTAGATAGCATTTGCATCCTCTGTAGGGCTGTGTTAGGCCCTTAACAGTTAGAAAATGACAAATCTAGAAACCAAATGATGATACCAGCAATAGTATTGGTATAGTGTCATGTAATTTACAATTACTCTCACCCATTTTAGCCTCACAGGCTCTTTGTAAGTAGGAAATGTATTATGCCTTCATTTTACAAATAAGCAAACTGAGTTTCTGACAGTGCTATGCTGGGAAATGTTTACCAGCCAACTCTCTAGAGAAAAAAATATTAAAGCCCTGATTGATAGTGTTTGTCTGTTTCCATGGTGTAAACACTCTCACCATGTTGGTACCAACATGTTGCTGAATGCAGAGCTGGGAAGAGACGTGCATGACCACTTGGTCCTCAAGAGCCTGGATGAGCTGGCTCCAGCACACCTCTGGGTGCACAGAAGAGAAATGACAGGTCCAAGGCCACACACATAGTTATTCTAGAGCTCACCTTCCTTCCTCTTTATTATAGAGCAAAGCAGTAACTGGGCATCCAAAAGCGTTTATTTAAAAAAAAAAGAAAGAAGAGAAAACCAAAAAGGCATTCACATCTTGCAAAGCTGGACAAAAGAAGGTGGTCAGGGGACCCCAACTTGGTGGAAACTACCCCTCCTACAGGCAGAAGGAGGAGCAACACCACCAGCACCCCACAGACCGGCCTGTCCCCACGCTTGCTTATGTGTCCGTGTGGCTATCTCACATGTGAAACCAATTTCGAATTTGGGTAGAAGACTTGTTGCCCAAACAACACATTAACCCCATCCTCCCCCCAAAAGGGTCCGGCACTTCTCAAGCTATTTTCAGCTCCTCTGCACCTCCCTGCTTGCAATTCTTGTCATAACAGGAAGCCAGTTTCATGTACTGTGATCCCCAAACACGTTGTGCCCACACGTGGGGGGCGGGAGGGGCCCAGCACTGGGCCCCTCCCAAGGCGGGGCGTCCTCCCTCCCAGGCCTGGACTCAGCAACCAGGATCTACTTCCAGACGGCCTTGTTTTCCTTTCTCATGCAGTTGCTGCTGTCTTTTTTTTTTTTTTTAATAAAGCATTTGAGTAGGCAGCAAAGCCAGTCAGAACTGTTTATTTATAGCTGTGGATTTTCAATGCTGTATAAATTAGAAATCGTTGCTGAATGAGGCCCGCGCCCACTCACACACGCAGGGCCGCTATCTGTGAGTCCTTTCACACGGTTTGACTGTACACAGTCTAAAATGGGAGAAAATGACATGCTCCGAGTCAAATGACGGAGTCACAGCTAAACGGGAAAGCAGAAAACCAGCAATTATTTTTCCTCAGCACAATATGGGGAGTACGACAGGTGCAATTATCCAATATTATTTAACAGCACCGGTTTGTGGTGTAGGGAGAAAATAAAGGTTTCCGTGTCTTAGAGAGGGAAAAAAAAAAAGAAGAAAGAACCTGCCTTGTGGCTCCTGTTTCTGCGGATTAAGCTGTGTTATGTAAATTGAAACTGGCCAGGATTCCAAAACGGGGAGAGAGAACCCCTCTGCTGCCCGGCCCTTGCTTCCTGCAAAGGCCTCGGCCTCGGTGCTGTGGCCTCAACCCGCCCCCCCCCCCAGGCAGGGCTCCCGGTGAGACGTGGGGAAGGCCGGGCCTGCTGGGCTGTCCCCTTAGAGGGAAACCCCCTCCTGCTTCGGGCTCTCCCGTCCTCAGCTGGACGATGAGGTCAGAGAGAAGGTGGCCCACAAGGAACAGCTTCCAGTCCTTTAGCAAGCTCTCCCCAGCTCTAACTTCCGGCTCATTTTTATTTCTACTCCCAAGCCTTTGCTTAAATCCATCACCCCACCTGCAAAGACTCCTCTTCTTCCAGCTACTGTGGAACAAATGAGCTGTCCTCCATGGCTTCTGACCTCACTGGAATGCCACTTCCCAGCTCTCCCCAAAAGCTCTGTCTTGCCCCCTCCCAGGGCGTGTGGCCCGCTGCCCCCTCTAAACTGCCCTGGCAGGCTGTCCCCACCAGCTGCACAGTGTTCCCTCGCTCTCCCCTTCACACATGCCCGGCTCCTGCTTCTGCCACGGTACGGAATGCTGCGTCGACTAAGGAAGAGAGGCAACCTTTTAAAGAATGACAGTTTGCTGTACTCAGAAGTCTTACTGAGGGCCAGAGACGGAGGCCCCCAGCCTGGCAGCAGCTTTGTCCTCCTGCTCCAGCCCAGTAGCATTTCAGCCCGCGGCTGGCAGACCGGTAGGTGGCGGGGTTCAGTCCGTGCAAAATCACATGCAACTTGCTCGGGAGCTACATCGAAGCAGAATCGCATCAAGGTTTGGGTGCAAGAGCACATCTGGTTATAGATTACAGAGGCGTAATCCCTGACCCGGTCAGATGTTATTTTACCTGTAGGAAAAGGCGAAGCCTGGGTTCATTTATCTTTTAAGGAATATAGTGACTCAGGTGGGAGACGTGAGGGGCGGTGTGCTCTATCCTGTTTTGTCTTCAAAGTGTCTTTCCGAGAGCTGCCCATCACAGAGGCAGGGGCTTTGTGAAAATCTGCTGGCACAGAGAAACAAGGAGACGGGGCTTTCTTGCATGTGCTGCTTTGTCTCACAGCTGGAGAGATGAGAAGCTTCAGAACCAGACCAGATTCGAGTTCAAGTTTGGACTCCACAACCCACTATCTGTACTGAACCTGGGGAAAATAGTATACTTATCTGAGCCTGTTCCTTATCTGTAAAGTCAGAGGATGATACCAACCATACTTAAATGAGAAGATTTAAGGTGGTGGATGCGAGTGCCCAGCATGCAAGGCCCCCATCCCACCCTGCTTGATTGCAAACTCCATGGCCGGGGGCACGTCTACTGTCTGCATCCCAACAAAGCCTGACTCTGCACCACTGGACAGTGCTGAACACAGAGACTGACAAGGATTCCTTATACGCTTCTTAATTGTATGGGCATCATCACCAAGTATCTTCCATCCTAGGCATCTCCAAAAGCTGAGATTCTCAACATTAGAGTGGTCATTTCCTTTAAGATGCTTTCTCTGTCTTATATGCCAGAATCCTATTATAATGACAGTGATGATCAAATTATAGTTCCATGTGGTCTAGCAACAACAAGAACATTAGTAGAATGGGACGCAGGGTGAATTTTGATGAAAAGGAGAAGGAGAGGAGCAATGGCCTGGGGGATAAATAATGGCTGCGTGCAGGTGGAGCTCTGAAATGGATGATCAGATGGCCTTGATGGTCCAAAGGAGGGCCCATGGGGTGTGAA